AGCGGGCGGAGCGAGTCTCGGGTCCCCGGGGCGCTGGGGCCGGGAGCAGATGCAGCCAGGCCAAGCTCTCGGGGGATGAGGTGGGAACCGCGTCCTTGTTTGTATCGGGAGGTTTGTGACCTGCGGGTGTGCCTCTGCCCGTCGGGGTTCGGTGTGTGTCCGCGGTGCGCTGTGAGGTGCCCAGGGGCCGAAGGTGAGCAGGGAAGATAGCGTTGTCCCATCAGAAACAGGACACGCTTCCACAAGAGGCTGTGCAGAGATGTGTTGCTTTGCCTGCCTTTGCAGGGTGTCCCAGTGCTTTGCTCTGTTACCAGTCCTGCTGGGGGCTGCAGAGAAGAGTACTCAGAACCACAGTGGAGTAGGGGTTTTCTCCTTTTTTCCATATGTTTTATATATGCAGGACTGGCATGCAAAGCCCCATCAGTGGTGGTCAGCACCTACTTGCTGATAATGGCTCAGCCTTGGTCTGCCAGCTTTGCTGCACTACTGGATTCTTGTATAGGATCAATTACAGTAATAATCACTAATAATACTGAGTTATCAACACAATAATCATTTGGGGAAACTGAATTGAATCTTCATGTCTGTCTTTATTGTTTTTTGTTTTCCTTGTAGACTGGTCTCCATTCCCATAAAGCAGCAGGTGCCTCTGTGATTGTTTCCTGATGTAGTTCTGGTACAGATGTATTGTTTGAATTGTCAAAGATGTCATCAGGCCTTACGGAGGAACAGAAGCGAAGGATCGAAGAGAACCGGCAGATAGCTTTGGCTAGGAGAGCAGAGAGGTTGGCAGCCCAGAGAGCTGGGCAGGCGGGCATCCCTGCACCTCAGCTGGATGAACAGAGTCTGGGCAATCGGGGAAACTCAAAGGAAGAAAACAATCATGTCAAGTTTGTTAGGCAGCACCAACAGAACCCAGACAGTCCTGCAGAGCAGAAGAGCTGTTTCCAGAAAGGTTATAACCATTCCACTGCAAACCAACAGATGGCTGGCTCACATGGAGAGCAGCAAAAGAACCATTCGGAGGACTCAGAGCAAGCAAGTGGCCTTAAGCAGTTCACTACAACGATCCCAAATTCTCTGAGTTATTCCCATAAACATTACTTGGGTGCTGGTGGTCAGGAACATGGACAACAAGCTTTAATTAATCGTGGAACATTCCAGCAGCCCAAATGCTACCCAGCTTTCAGAAACCCCTCAGAACCATCTCGTCCTAAATTAATTGACAATGGGCACCCTGATGGTGGTAAAATGTTACAAAGTCAGAACAAATCTGCCCTAAAATATGTTTCACCATCAAGCAGCACCGCCCCGAGTGATTCAGAAATGCAGACAAACACGGGCAGAGTGATGGGAAGACAAGGGGGAGGTGATGTCTCTCAGGCCAGTGGTAGAATGCCGAAGCTGACCAGCTCTGCTGGTGTGGGCTCTCCCTTTGAAGCTGTCTCTTGCAAGAAAGCAAATAATGTCACAAAAGGAAAATGTGTGAAACACGGGGAAGACCGATTCCAGGTCGAAATAGGGTATAATGCTGAACTTGTTGCTGTGTTTAAGAAGGTACCAAGCAAAGCCTATGGTAAGAATTGATTGTTTACTATTATTTCTTTTGTACATTGTGTTGAAGTTTCAGCATCTGCTGCAACTGTAGCTGCTATATGCCCTTACCACTGCACCTGTTGCTGGGGTGGAATATGTGGTATTAGTGGGGGACGGAAAAAGTAAAGGCAGATGAAATTGGACAGAAATTCTGGGTGTAAATAGCTTGAATGTAGAAAAGGACTCAGAAACCCTGCTTTGTGAACAGTGCTCTGAGAAGTTTAGTGGCAGCAGCTGGTCAGAGTCTCTTATGAGTGAAGGAAGAGCAGTTATTCATAAATTGCTATGGGAAAATGGGTCACTTCAGCTGTAGTTCAGAGCTGATGAGCTGATTCTATTAACTGGGTTACTGAGAACAGTGGAATCTCCACCTTTTGTCTTGCTTAGAGTCTTTTCTCCCTGCCTTTTTTTGTTATATTCTACTTCTGTTTTGCCCCATGTGTTGCTGATCCTTTTGAATGGCTGCTGCATTCTTCTTGTCTTAGTATTGAAATGCCCTATGGCTTATCTGGTGTCATATAGCTGTAAACTTGGCCATAACTGTTTTTCAGATGTGTGGCAAAAAGTTTGCTTGAGTAGACTGAATGCTCTTACCTCGCATGAATGTTTCACTCCACCACTTTTTTCTACCCCAAATGATTCAAATTCTGCCCTATTTTAGATCCTGCTATGAAAAAGTGGAATTTCAGCTTGGAAGATTACAGCAGTCTCAGTAAGTAAATGGAGTGTTCAATGATGAAAAAGAATCCAAATCGTGACACCCTTCCCTTCCCCTGCCTTTCAGAGTTATTATTTAGCTTTGTTATTGTCTGGAGTAGTAAAAGTAATGCTACGCAAAGATAATGCCCATCTTCTAGGCATCTAGCTCATAAATTTTTCTGACATTTTTAGTTGATGAAAAAAAACTTAATTTTTTGTATAAAAAGATTAAACTTTTTCTGCCTTTGCTGAATTTTTTTTCAGCAGCCAACAAAATCATAGGAAAATTATCTGCTGCACTGGTACTTCATTTGAATCTGTATTGAGAACTGAGTGTGTTCCAATGGCTGATGCTTAATTTCTGGGTCCATTCATGTATTTTCTTTTTAAACTGTTCTTTTTAAAACTCTTTTCCTGTTAATTTTGGGTGTCAGAAGAGGATAAAGGGTAATTCTCCAGGGCTTTGAGTGAGACTGAAAATGGATTTGCCTTTTTTTGGCCTAACAAGGATGGGTTTGTTGGTTTGGTTTGGGTTTTTTCCCTCTTCTGTTATTTTGCTCTGGAAAGATTGAGAGATGATAGAGGCAAATACTTCAGGTAAGCTTTTCAAAAGCACACTGTATTGAAGTGAGTGATAAATCACTATTGATTTCAGCGGGAACAGAATTAGGCCTGTGTTGAGCACTTTGAGAAACCACAGTTGAGTGCTGGTATTTTAGCTTCCCATGTGGGTTGCCACACATTTATAATTTAAATACTCCTGGTTTGCTTGGAGTGTATCAAGTACAGATGAGAGCAGAGTCTCTCCACCAAGGAGCTTGCAAATGAAGAGACTGTTTTTTAGAAATCAGGCACTTTTCCTTAAAGCTATCAAATATATGAGTACTTTGTGGAAGGTTCCTGTTTACAAGTGGAGACAGTATGTGATCAACATTGGGCAATGAAACTGGGGAAAAATAGCCTGAGAAAAGGGAACCGATTTAATAGGGCCCTGAAGTCTTGAAAGTGCAAAATAATTGTTTTAAAACTTCTCACGGTTTAGTTCTTCTGAATAACGTGGTCCTGTATTACCTTTCTTTCTTTGTACTATAAATTAAACATGCAGTCAAGACTAGAAACAATTGGTGAAATAAAAGAGTAAAATATGCAGTTTTTTCCCTAATTTCTTTCAGTATCAGTTGTAGAGGTAAGATACGAAATGCTAAAAGAGTAATATCTAAAATTGTTTCCTTACTTCAAAAATTACTTTCACTGGATGCTCTTAAACTTCTTATTTGGAGTAGAAATCTCAAATGTTTGGATTTATTCTGGAAGTCACTTATTTTAAAATTAAGTTGAATGAAATTTCAAATGGTTTATTTATTAACTGATTAGGAAGGAAGGGTCTGAATTTCTTTCTCCCTTTTCAAATCTTAACCACTGAACTTAAATTATGTACATTTTTGTTGCATATCAGTTAGCTGGACTACTTAAAAAGAAGCAGAACGTATCATGATGTTGCAGTTCAAAGGACTGGGTTCACATGGATTTACTCTAAACAGCTACCAGCTAGAGGAAGTTGCTTCTCTCCACATATACATGGAGGCAGAACGTCCTTAGGGGCCCCCTGCTCCAGATGTTCATGAATCTTTGTGCTACTGTAGTACCCCTGAGTTGGAGTCTCGAGGTTGAGCTTCACTATTTCGGTGCTGTAAAAAGTACAAGAAAAAATTATTCTTGTTCCTTAACCATTAGAGTTCAGTTATAGCAATAAAGACAACATATGGGTATAGACTGGGAGAGAGGCACAGGGATAAGTGGCATGTCTGTTAGTGTGGGTAGCTGTGGTCTCAGGCTAACAGCTGTAAGATTCTGTGCCCCTTCTCTCTCCATGCCCTGGCATCGTGACAGAGGTGATTGCAAGTGATGGGTAAGACAGCGGTGCATATGGCTGGGGGGAAGTCCAAGTCTGACTGTAAGACACAGTAGAATAAAGAGCGAGAAATTATAATAAAGGAGACTTAGGAATTTGGACTAGGTTCATTCCTCCAGCACCATGAATATACAGCATTCCTCCTAGATGAGATTGCATATCAGACATTGACATGAGGCAGGAGGCAGATATTTTTAGATCTTTCTCCTTTGCTGTTTACTGAAGCACCTTCCAATCTTTTCAGGCACACACTATTGATCACCATGCCCCTGTCCCTGTGATTTTGTAAGTGAAAATGCTGTATGGCTGTTTGCAATTTAGTGCTAAATGTGGTTCTGCAGATTGCTTGCCCTGGCCTAGTGGGCCACATTTTAGGATTGCAGACAGAGAGGGAATCTAATGCAGTGACAATGCTGGACAAGTTCTTGTTCACCTACTGTCACGTGTTCCCTCTGCCCTTGCTGTGTTCTCCGTGGGAAATCCCACCAAGCTGTCCCTCCAGGCCATCGTTCTCTCTAGTCTTTGTGCCTGTGAGTGAAAAGCAGGGAATTATCATTCCTCTTAAACTTTAAGGTGCATGGTTTGTTATCCTCTTGTCCCTTTGCTTCCCAGGGCATCCTGTGCATGTTTAGCTTATCTGTATTCTTTGCTATTCATTCTTTTCTCTTTCTCATGCTTTTCTCCCTAGTGGAAGCAGCAAATCAACTTTCGTCAGTAATTCTGGCACCACTGGAAGGGGAAAATGCAGTTGGCTTGGCATCAGGCTCTCCTTTCATTGGCAATGGAGTTGATGTGAAATCCCTCTTGAAGATGTGTAAGAACTGGAAGAAACCCTCAGCCCTTGTCAAAGGGAAGTGTGTGCTGATCTCTCGTTTGCGGTTTGAGGTTGATATTGGATATTCTGCAGACGTGATTGGAGTGTTCAAACAGATGGATTCCAGAAATTATGGTGAGTCTTGTTGGTTTTGCGTTATTCTAATGTCCTTTTTGGGGCTGCTCTTGGAGTGCTGTGAATGCTTCAGAGAAGAGAGATTGTGAGACTACATCCCTCTGAAAGCACAGAAGAGAATGTGCTTTGATGAAGATTTTGAGAGCTCTTGTAGTTCTGGTTTGGTGCTGTATCTGTGTTCAGCTCTTTGCCCCATGACAGAACATGTCCTCTCCTGGCCCTGTTAGTGAAGGTGGTATTTCAGAACTCAGCATCATTGCTTTTGCTGTTGAGTTGGGACGTGTTGATAATTTGCCAGCAGTATGGAGACCCTGTGAAATTCTTGTGTTTATTACCAAATGCTGTTGGACATTCTTGTATTTCTCCTGCTTTACTCTGGTGTATAATGCAACTGCCTGAGCAGACTTAATTTAACAGCAGCTTTACCAATGTTTCTGAGGCGAATGGAACTGTAGAGCACATTTTATGTTGGCATTCGGATTGCAATGGTAAATATCATTTTTTCCCCTATGGTAATTTGGGAAATGAAGCACGGAGTGATGAGGTGACCTGCACAGTGTCACAGCAGGTCAGTGACAGCATGGAGAACAAATTATGGAGCTCTTATTCTTTGGGGACGGATGCACCCAGGTCACTGTGTCTTCAGCTGACTCTGAATTCACTCTGCTTTGCCTGGATGTTGTAAGCAGGTGCTACCCAGGCGTAAACCTGCCAGGTAGGTCTGGCATTCATGTTACATTTTGGGTATTGATGAATTGGTGAATTTCCTCTGTACCCTGTAGGGTACAGAGGCACAACTGAAAGTGATTGTGTTACTGATCAGTCAGAGTCAGAGTTTGTCAGTTAACAAATAGGAACCTTCATGCACATTCTTTGTTTCTTGCAGTAAAAGTGATTGCCAAAATCCTTGGGCAAGTGGGTTCATTACAGAGGTTCATTAGAAGAACTGACCTTGGCTTGCTCCAGTGATACCTCCAGTTTTAGATGTGTGCTCATACTTTCAAATCTTCTCCAAACTGTTTGCTTAATGTGAAAGCAAACAGAGGAGAATTGATTTTGAACAAGGTAACAATTCTTTTATAGCAGCTCTGAAATGCAGAGGATATGGATGGATCGACATGTTCTTATGGACAGATAATTCGGTCTTTTAAAAATGAGACTTAAGACAGTGTTTGTATTGCAGATATGAACACCAGGAAGTGGAATTTCCTGCTGGAGGACTACCCCAGACTAAGTGAGTAGCTGTGTTTCCCTGGTGAGGGCTATTTTCTGGGGAGGCAAATGAATTCTAACTTCATTTCTTCCCTCTTTTTCACTCTGGGGAGACAAGCTGCTAATGACCCGTGAAGCCAGTGTCTTCCTGTTTTGTCAGACATTTACACTGTTTGCCCAGGCTCAAAACTTCATTAATGTATGCTATTCATGACAGAGTTTTAGGGGCCCACTGGGAGAGTAACTTTATCTCTTGTCAGATTCTACACTGGATTTCTTTACCATTTCTTACAGCATGGATATATTTATGATCACAAAGTTATTTTTATTGCTTCTAATATAAAGCAGCTCTACTGGAACTAAGAGTTGCAGGAGAATGGATTCTTTTGTTCCCACTTGCCAAATTTGAAGAGATTGACATGGTGGCTGCCAAGCCTACCTGTCCCTGCAGAAATTTTGTATTAACTGACTTGTTTTACCTGTGCTCCCCTCACCCTCAGTGCCAGCCCACCTAGCTCCCTTTTGTGTGTACATCAATTCATAAACTGTCACAGCCACCCCTTGCTTAGAAAACAAACATGTATCAGGCAGTTTTACTTCCAGTTCCTTATGCAGTGTGCGTGGTGTTGTGCTAGTTCATTTCACACCCAGCAAATTTTGTTTTTCAGGTCATAGCAGTAGGTTTTCAAGTCAGAAGATGACTTCTGTAACAACCAGTTCATCCACAGTTACAGTTGGGGTGCTGTCTAGCTGATGTTGTTCAGCCTCAAATGTTACTGCTGGTAATAATGACTTTGCAGGCAGCACACAACTGATAAGTTTTTAATTGGTGTATGTGGCAGGTTAGAATTCAGATTGCTTCCAGAACTGAGTTGGTTCTGAGGCAAAGAAGAAGCGCTGCTTGTTTCTGTTGCAGAAGTGTGCAAATCCACTTGAAGCAGAGGCACTGTTGAAGATGAATTTCATACTCTGCTAAAATGTTTTGGTGCTGTTTGGATGATTGAAAAAAAGGTCCTTTTGAGAGAGCATCATATTTTTCCTTGCAAGTAGAATATAAGCACATAGTGTTGCTACAGCATTCATATCTTTGGTAGAATTTGAATAGTAGACTCAGGATCACGAAGTCACAGAATGGATAAGGCTGGAAGGGGCTACAGGGGGTCATCTGGTCCAACCTCCCTGCTCAGGCAGGGTCATTCTACAGCACATGGCACAGGGTTGTATCCAGACAGTTCTTGAGTACTTCCACTGAGGGAGACTCCACAGCCTCTCTGGGCAATCTGTTCCAGTGCTCAGTCACCCACAAAGTAAAGTTTTTACTCATATTCAGGTGGAACTTCCTGTACGTCAGTTCCTGCCTGTTGCCTCTGGCCGTTACACATCTGTGTAATGCTGCTGAAACTGGGACTCGCTGAACTGAAATGTAGAACTGTGGTTTCTTGTGTTTTGGTGTGTTTGTTTTTAAATGGGTACAACTTTGCAGAATAATCCAGTCTCAGCAGCATGTTTCTAGCACATCTGCTTCTTAGGTTTTTATGTTTAGTTAAGTTTATAGAGTGCTTTGAGACGAATAGCATTACACGAGTTGTAAGTATTATTATTTATCATCCCAGTTAGCCTGCTGTGTTTGCCTTGGTACTCATGAGGGAATGAAGCTGTGGAGTTTGGTTGGGTTAAGCTTCAGAAAGATAATAAGCAAGGTGCTCTACACACATTCTTAAAAAGAGTGACTGAGTGTTTCAGAGCTGAAGTGCTGTTGCTCAGAGTAGTTTTTTCCCAGCATGGGCTCCTGCTTCCGCAGGATCCCAGAGCATGTTAATAATTGAGTATATGAATTCTTCTGTGATGCATGTCTCAATAACAGAAGTAATGGTTGTAGGTCTGAAAGCCATGTGGTGGGGCCATGTAGGGATGCCAGATCTTGAAAAGAAGTGAGTGTGTCTTGGTGGAGACTACGATGAAACTGCAGGGTTGGGGTGCTGACACTCTTGATTTCAGTGAGAGCTAATAATCTCTAACAATTTGTTAAAAGAGCCTTCTGTACGTACAAAGGACCTGATCCTGTAGCACATGCTAGGCAGTCTGAGCAAACACATCACCTCCCAGTCTGTCACAGTCTCAGTTATGCTGGTTGGCAGCTGTATACATTACATGAAGTATTCAGAATCCCACAGATTTGAGGAAAGAAAAAAAATAATTTCCATGAATCTTGCAGGGTGTAATTTGTGAGGGCATTTGAGGCTTCTAGCACGTGCTTTTTAGAGAAGCAGCATTTGCTTTGTGCCTGTTCATTTGCCTACATCAAAATAAAAAAGGGAAGAATTAAAAAAGGCTGGTTGCCATTTCCAGCAGAGAGATCTGTTAGCTGGGAACTGTTTGTAGAGGTTAATGTCTCTTTGCCTAGTTGCTCAGTCATCTTTATATAAAGGTCACTTCAGTAAAAAATGTCTGTTGGATGAATCATGCTGGTGGCAGATATATCTTAATCACTCTCCCAACTCATGTACAGAACAATAGCAACAGAATTATCAGTGAGCAAATTGTAGCAATTATGCTAACACATAGCTCAGTCTGTGAGTGTAATAACAAGCTTGTGCTGTACTTCGGGTGGAGAGAGTTCCTGCTATTGAAGAAGTATAAATTAAACTGGAGAGTTTAAAAAGTTTGGTCATTGCTCAACCACAAATGGAAATCTTTTCATATGTATATTTCTTGGAATTGCATTCTCCCTTTATATGGCAGGGGTCCATCCTGCTGCTTTCCTCTTGGAGATAACTGAAATAAAAATACCTAACTGAATTCTGGTGCATTTACTGCTGATGTAGTGAGTTCTTGTTTCAGTTGTTTTTACAAACAGGCTTTTTATGTCTTCTGGACTTAATATACAAACCAACCACTAAATAAAAAAGGAAGTTGCTTCCTGCAAGAAAGATTTGTGCACATGCATTTGTGTTCCTAGTGTAGAGGTGTCTTTTGTTTCATTGTCACTGTTAAAATTTGCTACATATGTTTTCCTGGTTTAAACTGGTATTTGTTTTAATAGAAATTTACTGTTGGATTAAAAAGAAATACCATTATCTTTTGGGGGTTGGGATAGAGAGGCTGCTGGAGGGGACTGAAATAAGGTTGTTCAGGAAGAGAATTGCCTAGATGCTTTGCTTGTTATGGTTTATGGGTTGAAAAGATGAAGGCTCTGAGGTCTTGGCATGACGGAGGCTGAAGATCCCTTTAGTTTGACTGGGAAGGCAAAGTTGAGGGGCTTCATGGGTGAAACAACAGTAGTAGTGAGGAACTCGAGTGATTGCCTGTGGGCTGGTTCTGTCCTGCAGACTGCTTCTGTCCAAGAGAACAGCAGTGGACACCAGCTGAGCAGTGAGGTGCTGTTGGTACTGTGATCCTGGAGTTTGGCTGTCAGAGTGCTGCTGATGGTGGTACCACAGCAGTCTCTCTGACTCTTGAGGTGCTTCCTGTTTTCTTACCCAAATGTGGTAAATGAGGGGGATAAAGTGGAGACAGAACCCAACGTGTGTGAGTTTGGGGAACAGGATATGAGAGTTTTCAAAGCAGATGATGTATGATATTCTTTAGGTAACTGTGTCTTGGGTCACTCCTGGTGGTTCTGGCATGGTGAAGACCTCAGAGGTATTTAATGTGGAATCCCAAGGTCAAGATAAAGATGCCCCTGCCTTCTAGGCTTCAGGAGCTCCTTTGTTCAAATCTGTACTTTCATTTCTGAGTAAAGTGTGCCCTAAGCTGCCCTCAGTGTGAATAATCCAGCTCCAGCTGTATTAGTAGCAATCAGCTCTGAATGATGGCATCAGAGTTTCAGGTTTTTTTATAATCAAGTCTAAATACGAAGGGAGGAGTTGTGATTCATCATGTGGTTCTGAAATAGACTTCAGGGAAGAGGCCAGGCTAACACCTGTGCATGATGCAGTGCTTTCTGTGAGCTGTTTCAGGATAGGAAATAATGTTGTTGATGAGGTTGAGGGTTGTGCCCTAACATTCATAATGTAAGTTGTGTGTATGTTGCCCCTGTCAAATAATAAACTGCTCTGTTCTTTGCAGTGCAAGTGTTACAGAGCCTCCTGGCAGTAGAAGTGGAGCCACTGCCTGAGGCAGTAATACAGACCTTTGCTGCTCAGCTGCAGAGATCTACATCACAGACAGACATTCCTGATGCTGACCTTTCAGTAGTGGACTCCAAAATTGTGACCAGCCTCATGCCCTTTCAGCGGGAAGGTGTGAAGTATGTGCTTTTTGCATGCTGTTAAAAGCTAGTCCTTGCCTAGAGTTGTGTCGTTTATATTGGCATCCAGGTTGCGTTCTCCTCCATGGAGGGCTCCACATTCCTCCAGAGTCTCAGGGCTGTTACACTCTGGCACTCTGGGCGTTTGGCTGTTTGGTACAGTGTGGTTTGTTTTGTTGGGATATTTTTTTTTGATTTCTTGAGTGACACGTGTTTTGTTTCTAGATAGAAGTCATCATGAGTCAGGAGGAAAGTAGCATTTTGTTAGTCTGAAAAAATTGTTCAAATGATGCATCTCTGATCTCCCTTGTGTGATTCAGGATGTGCATAATTGTCATATGATTTTTTTTTTATTTTGTAAGGTCATCTATTTTTTCCCCCAAGTCCATCTCTTTTGTTGTTGTTTATAGAATATTAACTACACATGGGAAAGGGCCAGGAAATGAGACCCGGGCCCTGAAAGATTTAAAATGACTAATTATTTGTAGAGCTAAAATTTTAGATGTCCCTGTCCCTGTCATACATGACCATTAGTTGTTGACGTCAATATGCTGTCCAGGAAAGTCTGTACTTAGTGGTCTTAAATTCCATTGTTATTAATAATAATTTCTTAGCTCAGTCAGGATGAAGTCTGGGACAGAATGTGACTAACACCGTGGAAAGAATGTGCTTTAAATAATTGTAAGGTTTTGAGACTACTTCTCATATGAAATCAGTCTCTAAGGACTGGGCTGAGCTAATCTGTTTGGGAACATCCAAGCTTTGAGAGATTTGTGAGAGTTCTTCACTTGTGTAAGGCTAGGGGAGAAAATCCAGGTTTGCTGAGGAACCCAGCTCACTTCCAGGTGATGCACATTAGAGGCTTGGCAATGACTTGTGCTCATCGTGTTTGCCAGATAGTAACCTATTTTTGACTCTTACTTCCCTCTCTATTTTCTCCAGTTTTGCAATTTTCAGGAATGGACGTTTACTTCTTGCAGATGACATGGGCTTGGGCAAGACCATTCAGGCAATCTGCATTGCTGCATATTACCAAAAGGAATGGCCCTTGCTGGTGGTGACTCCTTCTTCCGTGAGGTTTACGTGGGCAGAGGTACTGAGACCTTTAGCATGTGGAGGTGGCCAGTAAAGGGCCTGTGTGATGGTTATACTGTACTGTGCTTTGTAAAAGGTAAATATTTTGAAGTATTAAGGCAAAGAAACTAAAAATTAGACTGATTTAGAAACTTGAGGTGGTGGTGGTGAAAAATTGCTTAGCATTGACTGTACAGTGTATGCCCATTTTGTTTTATTGGCCAATTTTCTTTTTGTGATCCAACTGATCTGTTGGAAAGAGGGAGAACTAGAGAAAGTATCTCCTCGGACCCTCTGTTAACTTTGTTCCTGCAAGTCAGCTGGCTCCAGGTGGGAATTTTACTCATGAGTGTCAAAGATAATAGTTACATTCAAGCAATTGTGTATTCAAGCCCTTCATAGACATATTTGCCAGTTCCTTGGCTGGAACAGAGGCCCAGATACTGGGATTCTCCGCTCTGTTCAAAAGGCCCCATTATCATCATCATTAAGTGTCAGTCCTAATACCTCTTTTGCCTGTCTACTGTATGCTGCTGACTCCTATGATAGTCCTTTATTAATGCTGATTGAAGCCCAAGAAAGCTTGTATGGTTGGTATATATATCTTGAAATAAATCACTGCCACTGTTTGTACACTGAGGCTGTTGGGTCGCCATAGGCGAGTGAAATGTTCGCTGTGGGTGGAAAAGATGAGCCAGAGGTTTTGGGTCAGTAAAATCATGCCTGAGCAGGAACAGGTAGGAGTGTAATTTTTCCTGGAATATTGCGTTGATAAGAAGAGTATTGATTGGGATTTGCTGGTTTTGTGCTGTAACCAGGTCATTACAGCATCTCAGTGTGTGTTTTCACATGCAAAATGTTGGGCAGCAAGAAAAGTTTCTTTGTTTACTGAAGAGGGTGATGCTTGTCATACCTGATACTTCAAAGGCTGTGTCAACACCTAACCTGAATCCATCACTGTTGTGGGATACCTGCCAGGAACAATGTGGAACCTGGTTTTTGGAAGTACTGAGCACCTACAACTAGACTTAGACATTCTGCCTCAAGAGATTTAAGCAATATGAGGTGGTTTTGTTTGTTTTCTTTGAGTGCTTGATTTCTTCTTCTTTCCCCTAGTCCCAATGCCACAGGAGGCTGCTGTGGGAAGTGTTTTGTTAGGGCATTTGCTTTAGAGACCTGTGTTGCTTAGTGAGTATGTGAAGGATGCGGGTGTGAGAAAAGTATGTCACAGAAAGTGGAAGAAAGTGAAGATTATTGTAGTCTGTGATCTACTCAGTTCATTCTTGCACAGATGTGTTTTACTGTAATGGTAGAAGCTTTTGTGGTGTCTCTGGAGCTGAATTGCCAGAAATTTTCTTCATCCTAGAGTTGTCAGTGTTTTATTTTGGCTTTCTGGGCTCAGGCCACTGAGTGACTTTATATTGAGGTGTCGTAGGAAGCTAGTGGGAAGATGTGAGGTATGCTTGAGTAAGAAGTGCTGCAGCCATGTGCATTTGGAATTCAGCTTTGAAACAAATAATTAACAGTCAAGGCAGTTTCAAAGCACTTCTGGTGGACAAAGGTCAGCATCAAATGAGAAATACAGGATCACTTTTATGATTTGAATTAGTCGTGTACCCTTTATAAAAAGAGGGCAGTATAGCTAGGAGCTTCCAGATACTTTCCTGTTGCTGCCACCTTGGTCTAAGTTTTGACTTGGAATCAGCCATGTGGTTTTTTTGTTTGGGACCTAAACTTGCCTGCATGTTGGCTCATTTTGATTGTGGTGTGGTAAGGGATAGTTAATTGTTACTTTCTCACATCCTGAGAAATGCGAGAAGCTCGCATTTAACTCCTCTGGCTGCAGCATGTGGTTGGTGAACAGTGGAGAGGGATGATGGTTCAGGGATTTCTACGAGTGAAGGGTCTAGGGACAGAGATGCTATTTCTCATCACCACTTGGATACATTTATGTAGGCACCAAATCCTGATGGCCAAAGCCCCAGCCGGTTTTCTGCAGAGCAACATCATCAGAACTCAAATATTTCAGAGAGCTTCATGTCATTGGGGACACAATTACAAGGGAAATGGTGGGTGGTCTGTGGCTAACAGATGGGTTTGGGGGAGGATATCTTGCTCTGGTGTGTGGAGCATTTCAGGAGGTTGATTTGAATGACTATTACCACATGTATTTCAGCTGCTGTCATAGAGCAGCTGGTGTGTTGTCAGCTTGATCTTTTAATTTTGGATTTTTGTTTGGCAGTTTTTGGAGGGTTTTTGAGACTTTTTAAGGAGAGGTAGTAGAGTTTTGTTGATCTGGATAAGCTGTACTTCATCTTCACTGTGGAGTAAACATTGATAGAGTGATAGATGTCTACTGCTTAGATGCCTGTTTCACAGCCTGAGGTTTCCTGTTGAGTGGGAAACTAACTTTCCCTGTAATTAGTGGTCACAGTATTCTCTGGCTCTGAATATAGCAGGTGACATTGTCAGGAGATTATGCACACTTGTATCACAGATCAGTTGGGTTTTTTGTTTTACTGTTTTATTGGTATTTTGTGGGTTTGTTTGTTTGCTTTATTTGGATTTTTAAAAAAATAATTCAGTAAGGAGAAAGAATAGAGCATATTTGAGCCTTCCTAGCTGTGGAAGGTAGATTTCACCTTATAACCTGAGTTCTGTTGTTGATCTTCCCATTACTAAGGTGGTTGCTTTGGGAAGGCTGCTTATCCCTACTGCGCACCCAGGTGGTGTCTAATGGTGGATGGAGTGGCTCCATGTTCTGAGTATTCATGAGGGTGTTCTATGAAGTTCTTTGGGATCTTGACAAAACAGATAAGCACCAGAATGCAATTAATATCTTTCCTCTTCCTCCAGGCATTTCACAGGTGGCTTCCATCCTTGAGTCCAGGTAGCACCCATGTCATAGTGACAGGCAAAGACAACCTAACAGGAAGCTTGATCAACATCATCAGCTTTGACCTGCTCAGCAAGATGGACAAGCAACTTAATAGCCCATTCAAAGTAGTTATTGTTGTAAGTAGTACACTAAAATTTTCAAGTTGATTGTGTGCTGCAAATGGGGTAAAACTTTGTATAGCAGAAAAGTGTGAAATGGGTCTTATTTAGGACTGAAACTATCTTGTAATTGTGGCTGTGATCACAGCTGTCTTGGTGAGTAGAAGCATGAGGTTTCTTTGAAACCTTTTGAAATAACTAGTAGAGTTTAATTCTTTTCTGATTCCTGAGATTTTTTTTTCACTTTTACTGGTCATGGTGCCTCTGATTTCATTGCGGTTGGTCATATCCTCTGCTGGAGGGAAAGGTGTTTAATGTGGTGTGGTGTGGTGTGGTAATACAGTAGTCTTGGAAATGTATCTTTTTAAGGGGATTGGACTTCAGGGTGGTGTTAGTGTTTATCCAGTAAACCAGATAACCTCTCAACATCAAGTATGTGGGTAAAGCATCGAAAAAATCTCCCTTTGCTTGTGTTCCACTGACAATCTGCATTAAGCCTTCTTTGATCACTTGTAACATTTCTTCTGTAAATTACTTCAAAATCCATTTTTCATCCTTTTACAGAGCCACGGTAAAAGGTATTTTTCTGGATTTCAGTTACTAAAAATTCAAAACATCTAGTGTTTCAAATCCAGCTTGGATCAATAGAGAGAAAAATGTATATATAGCTTACTATGAGTGTTTGATGTTCTCACTCTAGTTTTCAGCACACATGCACCTGTCTTAAGATCATGACAATTGGAACATAATAATCATTTTGTTTCTCAGTATTAGATGGACTTCTTTGGAGATCAAACTACTCATGGGGGAATTGATTTTTTTCGGTTTTGTATTTTTTTCCCTACCTACTCTCTGACTAAACATTCCATTCAGACCGTTACTTTTGTAGACTGGGGAGGGCGGAATAGGGCTCTAGGGCTACTGCTCTGGAACATTTTACCAGGCCTAAACTGACAGATGTTCTTTCTGTGTGTTTATATGTTCAAATTTGGACCCTGAGTATGTTTTTACAGGTGAGAGTAGCCCTACTGAGTGCTGAGCTTCTGTGCGTTGTCTTCTAATCTTTTGATAGCTGGGAACATTAAGGTAGCTTATTTGTTAATCAGGAGGGAGAAGCCTGTGCCTGAGAGGCTAAACAGTTGTATTGTCTTTGCATTCATGGTTACTTGCTTTTATACATGTGGAAAGAAGAGAATGTACCCTTGGAGAGCACTGGTTACATTTAGTAAGTTCTGCCTTGCTACAGCGGTAGGAATGCAGCCTGTTTGAGGGTGATGTCTCAAGTAAGAGACTATTATCCACCTGGTGAGCCCTATCAGCAGAACAGTTGGATCCTAATTAGATTTCTTTTTTTTTCCTTTTAATTTTCATTAACCCCTTATTAAGGGAACTGGCACTGTATAGGCTTCCTGTGTTTGCTGCATTTAAAGGATACATAGAGGCAAATGAGCATTAGTGGTGGAAATAATGTTCCTCTTTCTCCTTCCCTCTCCAGCCCCCTCTGCTCACTTTTTTTTGGTGGTCATTTATGATTCATGGCTGCAAGGTTTGATTTCTGTTCCATTTGCTTGCAGCTGCAGGTTTGAATGTAGGAAGCCTGCTATTCTCCATCCTGTCTTTCTATTTAGAATTTGTAGTGACTATCCCAATGCCTGAAATATTCTCTGAGATGATAGCCTTGTAATATTAAATATCTGAGAATGCTGGGAATTTGTTCTGTAGCCTGCAGTTGGAGTATGGATAAGAACTGACTTCACTTTCATGATTGTTTTGTTTCAGGATGAATCTCATTTCCTAAAGAACACAAAAACTGCACGATGCCGAGCTGCCATGCCTCTCCTCAAGGTGTGTATGCTGGGTGGGTGCCAGACCTCTAACTGCTCAGGTCAGGCTCCCAAGTCAGTGTTGCTCTGTTTACCAGGTGGAGGAACTAGCAGCTGACTTCTTCTGTTGTGTAAGGGTAAATCCAGGTAATGGTGTAGATCCAAGAGCAAAATGTGTCTCTGGGTTTACCACTTGTCTCCATACAAATATTAGAGGGCAAGTCCTAACAAAAGAACTTAAGAAGCTCCCTTGATCTAATTGTGGTGCTGCCACTGATGAGTTTTATGGTGATGGGAAAAAGGGAATATCAAAACTTACTGAATTTATTCAGGGGGAGTTGAAAGAATATGGTGTTGCCACTGTAGCTTGTTTAATGGAAATAATCATTATCAGTTGCCTCTTAGCACACAGATTGCTGCTGTGTATCAGAACATTACCTAGGTCCCTTCCTTGGCTTAAGTTTAGAGCTCTAGTCTGTTAGTGCAAAATTCCAATATATTTGC